ATAACGAGTTGGAATCAATCAAAAAAGCCTGTTATCAAAACGGAACCTAGAGGTAAATAAAACTTTTAACTTTCTCTTTGTTATAGTTTTTGTGAGTAAGGATTTTTCAAACCCAAAATTGATAAAAGAATTTTGCTAATAGTCGAACGTTCTTAGTCTTAGGCTAGCAGAAAGGCAAAAGCATTAAACGTATATCTCTAATTTATCCTAAGGTCTCCGCGGTTTTCTGCCACTAGATGGTGTTGATGCCTATATATCGAGCAACACTCCCCTGATTGTCTCAAACGAAAGGTGACATTTCAGCTTACCTTATTTGCTCGTGTAAAAATATTGGTTTGAAACTGAGTGCAATACCTGAAGAAATACACTATGTGATCTTGTTTTACTATAAAAAAAGATAAAACATGCAAAAACATGCAGAAAACTTTTTCATGTGTACGGTGAGAATGCTGTGAGTGGACTCGATGGATCCAAGAATGGTTAAAGATTCACCTCGATCTGGTCGCAAGACCGACATGCAAGCTGTCAGGACGCTCTAAACACGAACCATTTGAAATGAGCAGACAACAAAATAGCGCTCGAAACCGCGGAGACTTTTCAGTATAATATATATACACATATATATATATAGAAAGCAACTATAATCATCTAAAACGGTGAAAATAGTTCCGATTGTTCGATTGAAGAATAGCAAGAAGCATGTTATAGGTTTCAAGCTCTCTCTCTCCCTCTCTCTTGTCGTGTCTAATGTAGAAACGCGGTTGTTAATGCACTTTTTTTGTACTACTTAGTTCTTACACTGTACTGAACTTGTAACTATTTGTCGCCCATCAATGGACTTTTCCATTGTTTTTTAAGACGCCTGCGTTATCTTCTAAATTATTTAAATATTAGATAACTTTTATTAAATTATTTAAACATAAGATGACTTTGATGAAATTAGCTACACAGATGATATTGATTACATAGATGACTACGATTAAATTGTTTAAATGTTAGATGACCGTAGAAAGTTTATTGAATTAGAAAATCTTTCCAGAATCCTCGTAACCACAATTTGCTTTATATATAATTTTTATTCATAGATACCTCGCCACAGCCATTTAATTTATATCACGCGCAACATGAAGTAACCCAATCTCCGCATTCACCATTATCACCGTGTTGTAATTACAATCAGCCGTCGCCATACGGTGTGGTATCTACAACAACTGCACTTCCGATAATTCCACAGGTGATAGGACAGTACAAGACCAGCCCTAATAGCGCTGGTGCCACCTGTCGACCATCACCTAACAGCTTGCACGAGTACAATGTATTTAATCAGCAAACTCAACACACATCAAGTAATTTTACAGGCACGAGTCAATGGGAAAGTAAATTTAGCCCAAATATAATAAATAATAATGAGACGATTGGAAATGATGCGACACAATTTCGAATATATAATGCATTAACTGCAGGCCTCAGTAACGCTAATGCAAATAGAACAGATGGCAATTGCGTAGAAACGGTACCGCCTGCCAATTGGCCTTTACCGCCGGTTAACTTGGTATGTAAACATAAGTATGCATGAAAATTTATTCAAAATAATTTATCCGGTTCTCTCTTTAGTATGCGCAAATGCAGCATTATCAAGCCAATCCTGTCGTCGTCCCACCTTGTAATGTTGAACAAATGCAGACTAATAATAATAACAATCAAAACAATCATAACAACAGTGAGCAAGGACTCAGTAACCTTTTAAATTTCGATAGCACGCAGTTGGTGCGCATTGATACAGAAGATCAACAAATGCTACAATTGAATACTGAAGATCTTCAAATATCTAATTTATCTATATCCACCTAATGATATTTTTTATTTATAACAAGAAGAAGAAGAAGAAGAAAAACAACGACAACAAAATTCATGGTTTCATAAGACAGCGATACTTGTCATAATGTCTCAATGCAAAGATTTGTTGCAATAAATAAAAATGTAGAACGTTAGCTTTATTTATAAAATTTAGTTAGTTATAAGATTTTATATTTAATGTTTTAAATTTTGTACTTTCTTCGAGACATATAGAAAAGAGTAAAACCATTAAGTAAAGAATTGTTAAATAGCGTATAGAAAATCCATTAAGAGGGATTTACTTTGAAGTATTTTGAAAATACAAAAATCATCTAAATACAACCCTCGTCTTATTTGCGATGCGCTCTTTTTTATATTTTTCCGCTCCTGTTTTAGCCTTTTAAGCCAATCATCATGTTTTACAATTATCCGGAACCGCAGTCACTTTTTTATATCACTTCATTTATATGTATATATATATATATATATATATATATAAATATCTTTTCGCTCGGCTGACGTTCTTCAACCAATTGTCTGCATTTAAAGAATTCCATTTCGGCAAGTATGAACATCATACAATACATTTATTGTTTGGGAAACCCATACACACGCTAATATCATAGCTTGCTTACCTTAGCAAAATGTTTATTTTATTTAAGACTAACTATGGTTTGATAATTTCCGGCAATACTTCCGGTAAATCTAATATCAATATTCTCGAATCGGGCTATCGCCAAGTTCTTAGAGCCAGCACCTACGCTTTTCGCACGATACCCATCAATAATATAAACCTGAAAGTGATGTCCCAGCTTTAGAGAAGAATAAAAAACTGAAATCATTCCCAAGTACCTTAATTCAAACAAATCTATTCTCGGCAAAGATGTGAAAAACGCTATTATTGCCAAGTTAATCAAAAGATCAGTGCTCGTATGTCGCAAAGGAATTAAACATTCCCTTAAAAATCTTCCGCAATTTTGTTCTTAAACCTCTGTGGCTGCGCTTGCGACATTTCGCTCTGCATGTAGAAAAAAGCGTAGATCCCAAAGTACTGCTTTAGGAATCTAGTTGAAGAATAAACCCGTACACTGGAAAATGACGGTTGGCATCTCCTATATACAGATTCAAATCCTGCTTAATCGCATACTTCACGAAAGTGTTTCAAGCTAAATAACTAAAGCGATAGCTATCCTTCCATAGGCAAATTCAAAATTATTATTGTCACTGGTAATCTGCCTAAGTTAAAAACCGTTCCTTTGACTTAACAAATTAAGGAATACCATCCAAATATGCGGTGATAAGATAAAAATGTTTTGGGTACGTAGTTATATCGGCTTATTGGGAATTGAGCAAACTGATCGAGAGGCGAAGTCTGGTGCTTTTGCACCTCTTACCCCCCAATGAAGGAAAGTTGAAGAGAAAATTATGGAAACAAGTCTATTATGCTATCATCAGCACCATCCCTTCATTAATCTTCATCTGGTTCCATCATTGTATTCAACAGGTATATATGCACAATCAAGACCAGAACATTTCCTGAAATTCACCTTGGCAATACAATTGCAGTACACTAATGAATCCTAAAGAAGTCTTCTTCTCCAATCGACAATTGTGAACAAATTCTATATTCTCTATTCAATAAAGCACATTGTTCATGACTGCCTATACTTTTCCTTTATTAGAAGAATGTCATTCGGAAAAACTCATCCTACGGATATGCTGAAATTAGCTACTGTAATGTAATATTATTAGTAGTAGTAGTACTAGTAGTACTAGTAGTACCTTTAAACCCGCCTTTGTGCGGTGAATAGGAACCGCATAAACGTTTACTCGTACTCGGCTCTATAGCTGATGCTCTTTTCTAAAATAGAGCGATAGCCTATGTTGGTAGTGCTGAACTTTTTCACTTTTAATCTAAAAATTTATATTCCTGTAAGTACTTTGGAGCTACATGTGATAAAACAAAACTTATTTCCCTTCCGAAGTAACCATATATCTGAAATATACAAGATCGCTGTTTGAATTTTCATACAATGGTTAGAGAATCTAAGTTCGCAAGCTATATATTCCCCATATATATCGGAGAAGTAGAAGTAAATAGAAGATAATTCGATCTATGAACGAACAATGATATGGTGCTGGGAAAATAATGCTTCATGAAATAACGGTTGTCCTAAAGAACTACGCAACATGATAGCAATGGCATTCATCGCATCATAGTACAATTTTATGGATAAAATGCTTACATCGTCACACATTGTTTCATTTTATAACTCTAAGAGCCAATATGATGCCGTTATTGTTTTTCTTTTTGCAGGGCTTTGAAGAGAATTTCATTTGAGATCAATTTGAATGAAAGTAATTTTTATTTGTTGACCTTTCACAATGTTAACCGGTCATGAGTAATTCGGCATTCATTTATGTTATGGCATAGTGGCATTCGAATTTATAGATCGTATATATAATTCATTCACTCATTCCGATTCGTTGATTTGTTGAAGATTTTGACATTTTTTTGTTGTTTTTCTTTCACAATTGAAATTTTTCCTTATCCATTGTATATATTAAATATTCAGCATGAGATTTGAACGACAGAGCAAATGCTTTTTCTAAATCTATCATAGATGATATGTTTATTTACTTTGTCCGTCCGTCCCCCGTTCCACCATCTTATTTTTTTTTCAGCTACGTACCCTGACATGATAGCGTGACACATAGCATTAGAGCGCGAAAAATATTTATTAGTGTGTTATTCTACAATTTTTTTTAAAAATCTAGGAAATTAATTAAAAGACGAAAGTGAAGCTATTTGCATATGTTTTACTGATCCTGTCCGATCTTAGAACTATCAGTGCGATAAATGTACTTGAAATCAAAGTCAACCTCTCAGATACTTTAATGAAAATGCTAAGTAAGTAATAGATTATCATTTTGACTCTTGTTGAACGGATGTAGCTTAAGATACTTTAAGTTGTAGGATGAGGACGTCTCTCTTAAGTTGAATACGCATTTTTACAAAGATAGACAAAGCAGGGCAGTATGTGTTTAAAATTTGATGCCAGAAATGCAATTAAATTTTATATAAAGGGCGAGGTGTATTACACAAAGCCAATAGCAGTTTAAAGTAAGTAAAAACACTATGATTATTCATATAAGAGCCTTTTCAAATAAGATGTTATCTGGTAAGTGATCGAAAGGAATCCGAATTATTATCAATAGCACTGTTTTTGGGCCGAAACGCGTCGGTTTGAACACAAGAGATCAGGACGGAGAGACGGACAGACGTGCTTTAATAAAGTCAGAAAGTGGTTCTATCTCAAGTTCTTCTGCATGTTACGTACATTCGCAGGAATCTAATAAATCCTTGCACCACAAGTTGTGCAGGGTATGAAAAAAAGAAAAAAACTAATGTTAAACTAATGCATAAAATAAAAAAACTATTTAATCTTCTTGTTTACATTACTTTCATTTCACACATGTTCTAAAAACGATAACAACATAAATTTGCAAATGTATGTGTCTTATCTTCGGACATATGACATTTTCTTTGCTTGGCCATTTCATATAAATTTTGAAAATTCGAATATGATAAAATTTGAAATGTTTATTTTAAGCGCAAAAGATCTTTTTATATTTTATTTTCGGCCAAAAAGCTATTCTTTTTATTTAGCTTATCATAAACAATAAGCAAGATTGCAAAGGCGTATCCTGTTTCCAGATGAAGAATATTTTCTTAAGAAACGCTAATAGGATAACGTTTCAGGTGCACATTTTGTTGTTGGAGAAACAATTTCAAAACGTTCGGATAAGCTTTCTTAAGCACTCAGCAATAACGTTGCTATAGTTCATTCTATAACAGTACAAGTCCGCGGAAATGCAAAAAATTTATGAAAAGTCACTTTGTAACTACGACAAATTGATTGAAAGCGATATAAAACAAAGTACCGTTGTTGGAATTTTGCGAGCTTGCATATAAGAGGAAGCCAAACATAAGAGTAGAAGATAATCTAGATGCATTCATTTTTGTTGTGCAGTATAAAATAATGAATGCGATCAGTAGCCAAAGTTATTGTTGTCATATAAAAAATTCTTCCGGTGTCTTCTGTCACATCAATAATTGGAGAAAATATTTAAAAACTAGAAAATTACTTAAAAACGATATAGAAGCTAATCAATTATCCATTCTCTGTCGAATATTATATATTCCTGTCTATATTTATTAAATTTATTAACAATAAACAAACTGAAAAACGGAACTAAAATGCCCGAGGTATTGGTAACTGTACCACCATTGCAATTGCAATCGGAACTCTCTAGTGAAGCGGAAGCAACTTCGACCAGTGCCGAAGCAACAGCTCGATCCTCTAATAGTCGAGACTCGGATTGTTCTACAAGTAATAAGAGAAAACAGCAAACCTCGCTTGGTCTGCATAGTAAGAGTAAATTGCGCAAACCATATGGCGCCCGTTCGCAATGGAAGTCATCTCTTAAAATCACGTACGTAGATAAACAATAAGATTTTCGTTGCAAGATTTTTTGTCAGAAAACTCGCAGCGCGTGTGAAACTACTCTACGAACAAAAAAAAAAAAATAAATATTTATTTGGCGTGTCAAAGTTGTCGTTGAATATTCTTTCAATTTATTTTCGAGAAAAGAAAAAAATTTTCATTATTAGTTTTCGCGTTCATCTTCGTTTTCTTTACCTAAAAATTATTTGAAGTTTTATTTTTTGTATTTTTATACAATAACTTTCGGCAGAGTGTGCACGTTAGTTTCCTTTTTCTTTTTAAAAAAAAAAAAAAAAAAAAACAAATTATTTGGATAAAATTTAAGAAAAAAAATTTCCTGTGTGCGATTCCCTTTAGTTGTATGCGTTAGCTTAACTATCTTTAAACGTCTTTGATAATAGTTCTCAGCAAAAAGCTACAACGGCCTTTAAATTGAAGTCTCATATTCCGAGAGCTCTTCTATTGACGCCATCTTCGTCGACTACATCTTTTACAACAAGCGGTTCG